GTAGGAAATCATTTTATTCCTCTTTGTTTACCTGTCTGCTGTCTGTCCTTGCTAAAGGTGTATGTGACCATAGTAAGTACTCTGGCTGTCCCTTTTTTGCTATTATAGCCCTAACTGCCACATCAAAAGGTTCTCTCTACAGAATTCCTGACTGCAGAAATATGAAGCAACACACCGACCTCTGGTTTGGGGATCACTGATGGAATAGTATGCTTAAGTATCTGTCTTCTCTCTCTTGTGTCTCAAGGACAGGGACTGTGGGTCTTATTTGTTACCTCACTATCTGGTGTCTATGGCCATACCACCCTGAATGCACTTGATCTCACCTGATCAAAGAAGCTAAGGAGGGTTGGGCTTGGTTAATACTTGGATGGGAGACCACACTACCTGGCTCAGGACCTGGCAAATAGCAGATAATCACTGACTGATTTTTTTTTTCTTCAGGATTTTTATATATGTGACATCATTCATCCTACATGCCTTCAGAAGGGGAAATCAAGGCATATGGCAATAGAGCAACTTCGTTTAGGAGAGATGACCACCGTGTGCTGATAGCAGAACTCAAATCTTGGAGTCTGCTGACTCCAAGCTCTGGGTCTTTTCCTCACTGTCCTTAAGTACACAAGTGATAAATGGTGTTAGCAGAAAACTAGACTGGCCTGAGGGAGCTCAATGTCACCAAGCTTTCACCATGACTTAGGGCTTTGAAATGACTGATATCCAGGCAGGGACTTCCTAATCTCTTCATAAGGCAGGTTTGTGAACATGATGGGATGCTAAATTTAAGGTCAATTAAAGAAGCAGGATATTTGCACGTTTTAAAGAGTCTCCCCATTGATGGCTTATTAGTGCAAGGAAAACAAGGTTGAAGGTAGAAATCAACACTACCAATGACAGACAGGCAGACAGATATCGTCTGCCATGTGATAGCCTAAGAAGGACACAGCAGTATATTTGTAGTGTTTGGACTAGAAAAACACAACCTGAATCTAACTGTGAGGAAGCATCAAATAAGCTCCAGGTGAAAGACACTCAAGTGAGAAGAGTGGAGAGGAGTGTTGTGTGCTTTGAAAATGTCAGAGTCATGAAAAGGGGGTGGCATAGTCCAGATTGAAGGAAACCCAAGAAACAGAAGGACTGAATACTTAATCCTAGACTGAATGCTTTACTGGAGAATAAGAGGTCATGAAAAATGGCTAGGGACATGGCTCAGTGCTAGAGTACTTGCCTACCAACTGGGACGCTCCATTTTCAAGCCCCAGCACCAGCAAACCAACCAAACCCAAACAAAATTATAAAGAAGATTATAGAACTAGGTATGGTGATTATGTCTCTAATCCCATCATTCCAGAGGGAGAGGCAGGAGGACTGAGCTCAAGGCCATCTTGGGCTAACATAGTTAAGACCTTGTTTTAAAAACTAAAATAAAGAATAAATAAATAAACAAATAAATGGGTCAAAAATTGAGGACAGATACTTAGATAAAAATATTACGTCAACATGAAATGTAAGTTGTTAACTCTATGTGGTGGTTTGAATAAGAATGTCCCCCAGAGGCTCCAAGTATTTCGATGTTTTGTTCCCAGTTGGTGGTAGTTTTGGGAGGCTTTAGGAGGTGTGACCATGCTGAAGAACGCACGTCACTGGGGATGGGTTTTGGAAGCTCTTAAGCCTTGCTGGATTTTCAGCTGCTCTCTGCTTCCTGTGCCTGCTTGAAGATGTGATCACTCTGCTTTCTGCTTTGGCCACCTCCAGCCGCCATGCCTTCCCTGCCATATAGACTCTCCCCTGGAACCACAAGCTCAAATAAACTCTTCCTTTTATACGCTCCCTTGGTCATGGTGTTTTATCACAGCAACAGAAAAGTAACTATATACTCTACCATGCTTATAAAAGAATATCCTTATTTTTCAGAAATGTGCACTCATGATTTGGCGCTAAGGACCACAACATAGACAACTTACTTTCTCATGGCAGCAGATGGAGTGAAATGAGAACAAAAAGTGAATCTGGGCAAAGTGCAGGAGGGTGAGCTTTCTCTGTCCTGTTTTTATCCTATGCCTTTTCTGTAGATTTGAAGATATTTACAAATAAAAAAGATTCAACAAAGAAACCAAGAGAGCTATAGAAGTTTTGTAGAATGTGAGTTCCAGAGGTCTAGAATTCAGTCTTCGTCCTGGCTATTTTACACTTGCTCAGCCTTTATCATTAGTCACTGCAGGTAGACATGAGGAACCTGGGATGAGGGCCCACTAGCCAGTCAGCTTAGATTGTGTGTGTGTGATTTTTGCTCTTTGAACGATTTCAGCGTAAGTCACACCCCCAAGAGACCTCTAGAAGTGAGAAAGTAGCTTATCCCAACCCAGACTTAAGAACAATCTGATGTACAGTCAGTCCATGGAGCCAGGCCTAAAAAAAGCCTATCCTTCCATGGATCAGAACATCCTGAAACTGCAACACAGCCTCAGTCTAGAAGCCACACAGTAGTGTCAGGCAAAAGGAAGGTCTCAGGGTAGCATGAATGCCATGTGCCATTAGCAAAGCTGGGGCAAACAAGACACAAGCTCTTTTCAGGAACACACTGCGAGCTGGGTGTAGTGAGCACGCCTTTAATCCCAGCACTCAAGGAAGCAGAGGCAGGTGGATTTCTGTGAGTTTGAGGCCAGCCTGGTATACATAGTGAGTTCCAGGCCAGTCAGAGCTACATAGTAAGACCCTGTCTCAAAAACAACAACAACAAACCAGTGTGGTGAGCAGCCCAGGCAAAAGACAGTGAGCAGCAGAGCAGAGTGTAAGACACAGGAAAGCAGAAGAGAAATTCCAATGGTCTGAGCTAAGGATTCCCAGTGCAGATGATGTCCTAAAGATGGCCTGGGGCTCCAAGGCTCAGGGCAAAGGGGACTGTGAGGAACTGTGCAAAAAAGAGGGGTGGGAGAGGCCATGGAGGAACAGGAATGGTACTTCAGAGGGCAGAGCATGCACAGGACAACACAAGGTGTGCTCTGGGCTGAACACAGGAGAGGCAAGAAAAATGAAGACCTTGTGGGATCTGAACTGAACTCTGAAACCTTGTGCAGGGGCGGAGGGGGCACGTTAGTGAACATTTCTAGTCCCCAAGATCCAGAGATGGAAAGCACCAGCAAAGAAAAACCAGTTAAGCTTTCACTCTGAGTCTCATCAGGCCAGATTACTTCTTCTGCCTTTCATCAGAATTAATACGAAGCTCTCCTTCTGCTCTACTTCAGCGTTCTGGTATTTGTTCACATAAGACAGCTACACTTTTCTTCGTGAGCGTGACTTTTTTTTTTTTTTAACCAAATTCATTCTAAATTTAGATCTCAAATGAATTCTTTGGAACAAAGACAATGACGGATGAAATTACATAATTTAAAATTCATTAATAGGGAAAAATACAAGTTTATCAAAGTAAAATATTTCACAGGGCAAATACTAATGTGCTTTTGTAGTAGTTTTTAGTCACATTCGATTAATAATTGACAGAATCTGGAGAAAAAAAATTTTGAGGGAAATAGGCTGTGAAAATGAGGAGACAGCCTTATCTACTAACAGAATCGCTTTCTGTGTTCACATGGCCTAAAACTACTTCAGGCTGTCAAACACTGGCAGCTTCAGGTTCCAGCCTACAGGTTATTCACCTACAGCCTTTAGAGCTCCTGCCTAGTCTCAGTGGCTGTTTAAAAATGACTGAATTAATAGATGAATATGATAGACTCACCAAAGAGAGAATGGTGCAGTACTGCATGGCATGGGATGCCTTGATTCCCACCAGATACTGGCTTTCTAGTCACCAAAATCCAACCTACCCAGCAGATTCTTGTTACCAGAATAATGATGGTATCAATAAGGAAAAGGGGACAGCTGTAGTTCAGCATAAAATTTAGGATTCTAGAAAACCCTGTCCTCCCCAGTGTGCCCTATAAACACAAACCACACACCACTAAGTGGTTATGGAAAGCGGATACCTCTTGAGAAGAAAGCTCAGGAAAGGGCTTAGAGGAATCAGGCTGTTGCTGGACCCTGCGATGAGGGAACATTTACTGTACCCTTCCTCTGTTACTACCCTCACTCACTCTTGGTGGGTGACTTAGCTCCATTGAGTACAAAAAAGTCTAGGAGCCACAGCTAGATAACTCTTGGGCCCATCTTGATTACCTACATATATAAAGGATGGAGTGGAACTAAGCAGCCTAGTGCCTCTGGTTCCCTAATTTCCTAAGCACAGAAGGATCCAGTGTTCAATGGTGCTCTGTAGGCCTGGAGCATGTAGCCCAGTGGCCAGGGACAAAGGCTAATGCCAAACAGACCTGGATTTGAGTCCTGGATCAGCACAGGCAAGTGGGTTAACCTTTCAATTTCCACATTATGCAAAGTGAAGTGAGCCTAAGATAACATGCTAAGTGAGCTGATGACCAAAGCCCCAATACTGCATGATCCTCTTCATAGGATGGACTAAGAATAGATAAATTCAGAGAAACAGAAATAGAATGGTGGATGCCAGGAGCTGGGAGAGAGAGAAATGGGGAGCTAGTGTCTAATGGGTACAATTTCAATTTTGGAAGATGAAAGCTCTGGAAAAGAAAGGCAGCAATGATTGTACAACATGTGAATACACTAATGTTACTGAACTGCATGCTTACAGATGTTTAAAAGGTTAAGTTTTAAAGTATGTACTCTCTACCACAATTTTAAAGAGATATAATCTGATTCTCTCAAATATCTGTAAGAACTTAACAATAATTATGCTTCAACTATTTATACTGAATTTGGTTCTACTTTAGGTATCCTATTTAAAAATTCTAGGGGCTAGTTTTTAAAATCTGGACTGAGTGCACAGGGGAAAGAAGCCATGTCTTTAATGGCCTGCTAACGTCACAGCCACTTACCAAGGAATGAGATTTTCTTTCGTTGCCAAGACAGCAACGGTTGCTGTGGAAACCACACAAAAACAGGGATACTTAACTGAAACAAACTCCACTTACCTGCACAAAGATGCCCTTGCTCTTGTACTCCTCATGCAGGCACTGAGAGAAGAAATCTACAAAAGCCTGGGAGGGTGGTAGGAGTGAGAAGAAAACACGGGTATTACATCAGTCTGCCTGAGGTGTAGCCATAGAAACAAAATATATAAATTAATCATTTAACACTAACATTTCTAATCATTTCTTTTATTTCGAATGCAGAAGCAACATCATAAAATATCTCAAAACCTTAAGAGGCTTTTCTGCCACTAAATGGTATTACCTCACTAAATACAATACACCAAATTTTGGCTTAATTAGAAAAAAGGTTTATTTTTCCCCCAGAAAATTAGTTTCCAATAAAGAAAATTTCCCCCATTATATAACAAAGGATTTATTTCTACTTTCTACTGGCCACTCCAGCAGAAACTGTGAATGCTGTTCGGTTCTGTTTTGCTGCTATGAAAAGAATAGGCAGCATCCCTCTGGGTGCTATGGGATGGCATGATTTGAGAGGTAAAGGTGAGAGCCCATTTCTGATAATGCAACTGTAAATCTATCTATAAACTGTAACCTACCATTTCTCAAGGGCAGACTTATTATCAGACTTGAAATGCAAGTGTTGATGATGACTCTATAAAGGTCCCAATTAGCAATAGTCATGGAGAAGACACAGGATACAAATGTTCAACATTCATCACTAACACATGATATCATTTAAACACGCCAACAGTATGTTCCAGAAGTGGAGAAAGCAGGCAGAATTCAGGGGCACAGGGGCTATGCAAAGGTTTTTCAGAAGGCATCAATGACTGAGTTCACAAGAGAAAAAGAAGCAGGTATTTTGCTCATTCCTTCTCTGACATACTAAAAGTCCTCATTACATATTATAATTTGCTTATTTTTCCCTAAAAGTTTATTTAATTTCAACAACTAAATGGCCATTTTTCCCCCTTCAGAAATGTATTCCATGCTTCAGTGAGATATCTTAAGATGATGCCACTGACCTGCAGGCAGGTGGATTTGCATTCTAAATGGATTATCCCAGCAGTAATGCAGGGAAGTGAATGGAAGTGCTGTATGAAATCATGACATCGTTTTTTATTTGTATGTGTGTGTTGTATGCAGCACATGTGCATGTGGGTGCCTATGGAGGCCAGAAGAGGGAGCTACAGTTACAGGTGACTGTGAGTTGCCCAACATGGGTGCTGGGAACTGAACTCGGGCCCCCTAGAAGAACAGCAAGTGTTCTTAGCTAATGAACCATCTCTCCAGCCCTAAATCATGCCATTTTATAGAGTTCTGGAAAATCTTTGCCACACTCTAGAAATGACAGTATCTATGAACTCTGGATAATGTGGCAAAATATTCACATTCTCACTGCTCTATTTTGTGTCTGCCAAACACATTTGTGGAGCTAATGGGTGCTTCCATGCTGTGGGTAGCCTATGCCTCATGTTACCAACTCTCCAACCTTACTATCAGGTTCTAATCAATGGGTAAACTGGCTTAGGCTAGGTCTCTATGGAAACCAGAAGTATCCCTGTTAAAATCAGCAACCCGAGGGGATAAAAAACATCAGTGGCTGTGAGAGCACTCCCATACCTGACTTGTGAGCCTGTACCCATCACTGCATCTCTAGCTGTGGCCATCCAGAAACTCATGTAGGCTAGCTTCCTTTCCTTCTTAGCCCACTGGAAAACTACCAAGCACAGAATTTCAAGAACATTAAATCTAGTTAATTGCTCAGATTAAAATTCACCCCTAGTCTTATGCTGATATAATTTACTGCAATGCTGTTCACCTTGGTTGCAGAGTAGATGGTCAACAGTGGAACTGGGAGCATGCCACTGGCAGAGGAGATGTTGAGAATGACCCCTTTAGATCTAAAATTAAAACACACCAGTAAACAGAATGAAATTATATACACTTTTGGCTTGTGAATTATAGATCAAGACACACAGAAAAAGGTAACAGAGCAGCTGCTTGAACACCTTTCTCCCTGCCTTTCACAAGTGTGTGGTATGTCTGATCAGTGAATGAAGCATAATTCAATGAATTTAAAATAGCTCTTCATTTTGATGAGCTCATGTCCCAGCCTTAGCAATGCAGAGCATGACTGGACCAGCTCAACAGTCTCCTCTACTTGATCTCTACTCTCTGGGGTCGAATGTGGCCACAGCATCAGGAATTCTCATATGGTGGGGATGCAGTGCAGGGATAACTCACTTGCCTAGCATGTGCAACGCACTGAGGTCGGTCAGTGCCAGCACAGTAAAAGTAAGCAACCAACCACGCAGATATTCTTATATTCTCCCTATGGACCTTTAGCCTGTGTGTATTCTGGCATATCATCAACTACATCCCTGCAGTATTCAAACCATTCATACAGAAACATATTTTCCTCTCAACAAAGCCCTGAGCTTCGAGACTTCAAAGCCCACTTTTTCTCTCTCATAAAAAAGTACTTAATAAACTACAAAGACATACCTAGCAAGCACACAGAAGTATGGAATCATGTTTTTAGAAATACCAACTCATCCTATCAAATCCATGCCTCTCAAAGGTGCTCTTTTCTATTGGTTTATCTATTTTTACAGCTCTAGGGATGGAACCCAGGGCTTCATGCATGCCAGACAAAGTCAGTAGACCCACACCTCCAGCCACATCCTCTCCTTTAGCTACTGAAACCTGGTCCCAGGCACCTCCTGTCCACTCTTCAGTTGTCTTTCCTTCTAGACAGGCTTATCATTGTCCTTTGTTTGGATTTAAGTACCTAAGCCCTGTTTTTTCATTATGGGGGAAGGGGGCAACAAGGCCTATGTAGATCTTTTTAAAATGCAAAATAGCACAGGAATCATGATTAAATGGCTCTTATGTTATTTTAGAAATAAATCTTTAAAGAAATAATCCCCAAAGGTCACTGCTCCATCTGCTAGTCTCCAGGCTAGATGCCACTGCAAGCAAAGGGAAGTCAGTCCTGTTTCACGTGTGTCACCAGAAACTAATGAATTGTTTTTTTTTTTAAAGCAGAGGCCCTTATTAGTAATACATACTTTCTAAGCAATGAAATTCATTAAAATTTTGGTTTTAAAGATAATATTTTTTGGTGATAAAAATAATATTTCAAATTTTAAAATGTTAAATTTTAGGTGTAAGTGGCTAATAGATGAGTCACATCATTCTTACACTGGTTTTGCTTGCATCCCTCTCAAAAACAGAAAAGTGTCTTGCTTGTTAAACTTTAAGGCAAAAAAGTTTGTATCAGGACTTAGAATCCAGTCCTTTTAGATAAAAATTGGTGAATTAGCAGTGAATATCTAGTCATTTCATTTTCTATATCTGTGAGAAATTCCTTTGATGAAAATGGAACAAAACCCACATCTCTGAAATTATTGTTTTAAGGGTGTTGAAAATATTTCCAAGTTAGACTGTTGCATAGATCTGAATACACTGAACACTTTAGACAGATATGCAATTTATGGCATGTAAATTATGTCCATAAGTTTGTAAAATATAAGAAAAATACACTTCCATTAGAACATGTTGCCTTTATGCTGGGCCAGACTCTATCATGTGGAAGCACAGAGAGCTATGGTACCTTAGGCACCACAAGACGCTTTCTGAGAAGCAACTACTGATCCTGATCCTGACAATTTACCCCCCTCGTACACCCTGAGAATCCTTACAGCTGTGGGCTTTTACTGTACCCTTTAACCAGGAACTGTTTATCCTCAATTCATCAGTGCAAATACAGAAAAAAATCAGTTTAAAGTGGATGTAAATGATGCTGCCCCTAAAGCCAAGCCTGTCGCCCTGCTCTCAGCCAGACTCTGTTCTGTTATGCTCACCTAAGCTGGGGTGGTTGTGCGTGTGCCCTTGAACAGAAGTCAGTCTTTGTGTCATGACTCACAAATCAAATGTAAAGTCTTTAAAGGTTAAAGTTTAACATTATCGAATAGTCTATATCTTGAACTCATCAAACAGACTCTTTCAACTGAGGAAAAGTCATTTAAAGATAATAAAAGCTGTTTTTCCCATTTTACAAAATCATAATTTAATGTGTCACAATTACGCAGTCCTTCTCTTTTACTTGTTTACTTCTCTAGTCAGCTAAGATCTGTTTCTCAACTCCCCTATCTTGACTGAAGATTCCTAGTAGGTAGAGCTACTTGAGGGGCCAAAGTCAAAGTTTTGGGGTACTTTACACAAAACAAAGTATCTGTATTCTAAAATATATTTAAGCCCCTTCAAGTGCTATATAAAATGAGTAGATCTAAGTAAATAAATGCATAGTCAGCACTTCTAACTGTACCTAAATGGCAGTAGAGAAAGTGTGCCACCCACCAATCTGCCCCACCATCCAGAACATACATATCTGTCTATTAAAAATGTTCCCATGCACCCTGCCAACAGCATACAAATTTGTTTTCTCCAAGGATAAAAATGTTCAACTCTGTTTTGTCAGAATCACAAATAGCACATTGGTATAGTATAGCCTATCTTAATCCCTATAATCTGTACAGTAGCACTTTATGCAGAGATGGGGTGAACATTTGGGACTGGGTGGCACAAAGGACTCATCTTTACAATCAACCACTTTGTCTAGCTCTAATCCTCTGTCTAAGCAGAATTAGTGACGTCAAACCAGTTTCCATGGCACAGCCAGGCTCATGACAACTCTGTTATATCAAGCAGAAGGACAAAATGGGCTACACTTAATTGCGCACAGAGACAAACATAAAACCAAACTGGTTAATCTCTCATTTTCAGGAGGCTTGGAAACAATTCTAAGATTGGCAGCACATTAAGAATTTTGCTGGAGTTTGGTAATGAAGACTCCTGCTGCTCATCCTTGGAGCACATTTCCTAGTGTATCACGACAAACAGCTAATGAATGGATCCAGCAGCATTTTCTGTGATGCAGCATTTTTAACTGACCATGCTGCTTACTTGCTAACCACAACAGGATGGTGTCTCAGTGATACAAATTATTGAGGATCTATCAGAACTAAAATGCAGCAAAAACAAAGCAGAAAATACCAACTACTGGTAAGGAAGCACCTTTTCATCTCAACATGTTAAGGTTGCCAGCTCTATAAAATAGAGAACCTTGCATTTACACCTTACCTTTCTTATCACTATGTACTTCAGGAGAACTCCCTTAGACTTGGGGAGTTCCCCATGAGGCTCTCTTATTGTCACCTGGATTAAAAATAGTTGCCAAGTTTTTGTTCTATAAATGTCCCACATTTTATCACTCTTGTAGTGTCCCTGGCCTCACCTCTATACAAATACTACTGTCACAGAGGAAGTAAGAGTCTCCTTTGAAGTTAAGTCTGATTTCTGCTTTACTCAGGAAACCTCAGCACTGCCCCACCCTGCAGGTGAGGAGAGAGGGCTGCTGCTGTGAAGGACTGGAACGGGGTCAGAAACAGTGTAGACAGTTAACTGGAGTGTAGAGTGTGATGACAGATGAGGGAGAATGTGAAATAAAGACTCCACCACAATTCTACACATCTCCATCTCCATCAGAGAAGACAAAAGTGTGCGCTTACAGGGTCATTATACAGTTTTCTAAGCTTAACCATAAAACTGAAATTGGTGTAGACAGTTCTCTAATAGACTTTCAAGAACACAGAAAAAACATATCAAAATAGAGCTCTATGTCAGAAAAGAATCGTGGAACACAAGGTCAGGTATACAATTAGAACCAGCAACCCAAATATTCATATTATACAAATATTGCTTTGTTGGAGAAAGTTTGCAAACATTTAGCATATGAAAGAGAATTACCTGCCCTAAAACAGCACAACATGTCATAATTCCACCTTAAGCAGTACAATGCGAAAGGGGCTATTTTTAGCTTTTCCACAGTTGTTATGGCAACCACCTCCTGGCTCCAGCAGTACACAATGTTTATAATTCCAGGGAAGCAGAAAGAGCAAGTTTCCTTTATAATGTAATTATGTACTTTTTACTTGCATGGTAATAATACCTTAGTTTGATTACTGATACTTGTTTAGTGACAGTCGGTTGGCCCTAGGCTATAGTTCTAGAGGGTTTGGAAAATCTCATACATCAGAGATAGAATCAGTGAAAGGGAGGAGAAAAAAAAAAAAAAAAAACATTAACAAAGGATCTTTCTAAAGGACACTGCTGTTACTCAATGGGAATACTAATTCTTTGGAAATCACCATAGAAATGGGCCGTTTTGGGGTAGTGTAGAGAGCAGGCTATAATGAAGCCACTTACAAGGTGTAAGTAAGACCCCTCTCAGACAATCTGTTTACCTGGTGCTTTTCTTTCCTCTTGGGCAAACAACTAATGTCTCTAGCCTCCTTTGCAGTAAGTTGCAGCCTGTGACAGACTGAATTCTGGACAAGAGAAAGTGGGCAGAAGTAGTGTATACCTTCCCAGGGCTGGCTTACGAAACCTCCCCTAAAATCATCCTCATTCTCTTCCTTCACTTGCTAGCCGACCTTAAAGACTGATAGAGCCCATAAGTGGAAGAAGCCTTAGGTCCCTGAAGGACTAGGTACAGATGCAAGGGAAAAACAAGTTTTCACCATGATAAGCCACTGAGGTATGCATTAGTCTTGTTACTGCAGTTAGTGCACCTTGACTAATGTACCTAATAACTCCTAAAATTCAAGTGGACATAGATGTTTCTTCTAACAGAAAGTACTGATTCATAAATCCACGTGCATATCTCACTAGTCCTTAGCAAGCACCACAAATACCCCCATGGATTCAGCTTCCATGGCTTCTGACAGCTTTCCATCAGCTTATTTTCCAACTTCAGCTTAAAACTCAACTTGATTTCTTAAAAGGCAAGAATCAAACTCATCTTCTCAATTCTCCAAGATAAACTCTGCTCTATGAATGGATGAATTCTTTTCTTTATACTGCTGATTTATAGTCAATGTTCCGGCTGTAACTGTGGCAAGGGCTGCAGTCTAGAGAGCAGTGAGTTACTAGCTCCTTGCCTTTGTGTCATGTACTAACCTACATGTTTCATAATACTCCAACTCATTTAGCCTCCATTTTCCCACTGATCAAAAGAGGTTGGGGGTTACTGTGACTTAACACAAAGCACTGGATTTGTTGCTCTGTGAATCTAATACTTTATGCTCCATGAAATGACCTCACAGCCATTATGTCCTTTTACAGGGTTTCACTAAGACACTTACCATTTTAAATTATTTATTTATTTTTATTTTATGTGCATGAGTGTTTTGCCTGCATGTATGTAAGTGTACCATGTGTGTGCAGTGCCTGTGGAGGTCAGAAGAGGGCATCAGATCCTTGGAACCAGAGTCATGGACAGTTGTTACCGGCCATGTGGGTACTGGGAAGTGAACCTGGATCCTCTGCAAGATAAACCAGTGCTCTTAACTGTTGAACCACTGCTCCAGCTCCCCAAATTTCTTTTGTAATTCCTCTGTGGTTTATAATTTCTGTTGTTTTGTTTTTGCAGTGCTAGAGATGGAATCCAAGGCCTTACACTTGCTAGGCAAATGCTATAGCACTGAGTTTCCACCCCAAGTCCAAGGATTTCTTTTTAATGTCATTTGCAAATGTCAAAACTCAGATTATGATGGTGGCCCAAATTTTCTCCTTAGTGGATTCTACTCTGTCCTCCCCAAGTTTGCTCTTTCCTGGAGTCTGGTTTGCTTATTGCTATCTCCATGTTCTACCATGAGGAGCACTTCCCCCTGTCAGTCAATAGGCAGCTTGAAGACCTCAAAAAGAAACTTTACTAAAATAAAGCAATTAGAATACACAGACCAGTGCCTATAGAACAGAATTACAACAAACTTCACTGAGAGAGCTCCTTAATCAATCAATGTACATGATCAACAAATGGGCTTCTAGCCTCAGTTCCCTCATCCACAAGGAGAATGAGTTACCACATATGGAGGCCCTCAAGAAGCATGAACTGTAATCCTTGTCTGAAGTGGGCTGTTATGGTCTTTTAACAGAGGCAGGTCCTTGGTTTCTCCCTCTTCGTGCTGCAATGGAGCTGTCAACTTAGCAAATGATCAAACTGGTCTAAGATGCAATCTCAGCTCTTTTCAACAGGTTTTCTTGGAAGGCCTGGGCCATGTTTAGGTCTCCAAAGAAAAACAGTTTAATCACAATTTTACATTTAGTGCTGTCTCAAATATGGAAACACTACCACATAGTTCTCAATAAAAATGAAGGCATCCTAATTCCAAATATAACCTCGGTGGGGCCAGTGGACATTGCCTTTCCCTTCAAGAGTTGGCCTAGCATCTTCTGGTCCCTTCAGAGCAAGTCTAAGTCCTCACTCTCCCAACAGGGATGGAAGTACCAGATGATTGCATCTTGTTTCAGGACACTCTACTGACTGAGGCTCTGGGTGGCTGCAGCTTTAAGAAGGCATTCCCGGGAATATCCTAGGAACTCTATCCACCCCCTCAGAATAGCAGGCAATTGAGTTAGTGATGGTGACTCAGGCTGGCTTTTTAATCCTGATCTAAAGGAACCACCACAACCCTAGAGAGGGAAATAAAAAGAGTTGAGTGGAAAAGGCTTCCTCTACCAGTGACTCATGCTCTACCATGTGACTTGCCTGGTACTAAGACATGGCTAGGTTCATTAGTCACTATAATGAAATTCTCAAAGAAAGGATTCTCCCTATAAATAATAATGAGCTATGCTTCCACAGTGTGTGTTTATGTGTGTGTGAGCTCGTGACTCACCTTTCTACCATGCCAGGCAGCACCAATCGTGTCACCTGCAAATGAGAAAACAAAACACTCAATGATGGAGGAGGACACAGGCAACAACAGAGTGAAGGAACCCATCCCTGCCCAAGAGAAGAGTCACAGAAGCACTCAGCACTTGTCCAGACAGATGTTTGTGTTATGCACTTCGTATAATTTCACTGTGTTGAGAGTACATAAAAAGGAGGCATCATTGGGAATATTTTCAGCAAACTTGGCTAAAATTAGCCTTTTCTGAAAGGAAGGTTGGCATAGACAGCTTCAAATAATAAAGGCTTTATGGTAAAATGGACATCTCTCAAAGTTCTTTCTCAGAAAAGGATATATATTACTTGTAACAATATCCCACCTACCAAGATGTCTTAAACTTTCTAATCTCCAGAGCTGAAATAATCTTTTCTGATCAAAAAGGCTATTTGGGGGGTGGGGGGAATGCTATAATGGAGCATTTTGGCAAATATTAAGTGCGTTAGAAAATATTAAATGTGTAAGGTTGTCTGAAAAGTTGGCATTTTTAGTTTTTAAATACTTCTTGAGTCTTGGGTTAAATACACATAATGATGAGACAGGCCACTACTAAACACTGTCTTGAGATGTTATGAGCCAAGAAAAATGAGAAGTCCATGCTTACTCAAGATGATATCATAGATAAACAAGTCCTGACTTGGGTTCTATCAGTTCTTTAAGAAACAAATGAGGTTGTAAAGCTTGACACAAATCGAAATTTCTTTCATAAAGGCACAAATTTAAGTTTTATTTTATGTGGGTAAGTGTTTTGCCTGCATGTATGTATATGCACCATCTGTGTGCTCAGTGCCCACAGGGCCAGAAGAGGACATCAGAGTCCCTGGAGCTGCAGATACGTCATGAGCTGCCATGTGTTGGGAACTGAACCTGGGTCCTCTGCAAGAGCAGCAAGTGTTCTAAACTGCTGAGCCATCTCTCCAGCCTCTATCTTTATCTTGAATAACTATACATCAATTTAAATGACAATATTTTGATATAATAGGTTTTTTCATAGAAATACTCTGGAAAAGGCCATAAAGACTTTCTGTAGCAAACCGTGCTATGTGCATATATAAGTCAGGTCAACTCCAGAGCTCTCCCAGGTACTTACTAGTGAAAACATGAGCCCAAACAGTCCCATATCATGAACACCCCCCCCCCAAATGGGCTGAAATATCACCAACTTCAAAACAAAGGTGTATCTTTAATGCACAGGGGAATCATTTCAATAGAAATATATGATTTGAATAAATGTGCTCCAGATGAAAATGGAGAAACTGTAAGAGCAAGTTTGGACAAAAACATCCTGTATCTTTTAAAAAATATTTTATTACTTTTATTTTATGTGTATGAGTGTTATGCTTGTGTGTAGGTAAGTGCGCCTGTGTCCTGCAATGCCTGCGGAGGACAGAAGAGGCTGTGGGATCCCCTGGAACTGGAGTTACGGACAGTTATTAGCTGTCATGTGGGTGCTGGGATTCGAACCTGGGTCTTCTGCAAGAATCGTCAGTGTTCTTAACTGCTGAGCCACCTCTCCAGCCCCCCTTATCTTCCTCTTTACATACAAATCTATGTTTTCATGGAAGCATCTTCCTGGGATGCTGACACACTGTCAGCTGTCTACCCTTCAGTAATTATTCTTTCCTGATTAGACTGCACCTGAAGTTTCAGAACACATGACCTCTTCCCTACCCTTAGTCCTCTCATAAAATCTACTTTCTACTTCTTTTGCAACTGTGCATGGCCTATAACTACCTTCTATTCATAAGATACGAGGCACATACAGCTTTTTCCCCCCCATGCCCTTAAAAGGAAAACAGTCTTTTCTATTATCTTTTCCTCTTCTTGGTAGGTATGATGTCGTTCTGAAGGAAGGAGCTATATTAGCCACCTGGACCTCAAAGTGAATACCATGTGCTAACAGTGATGGGGTAATAGGACAAAAGGAGACAGGATTCCTGATGACAGTGGAGCTACTGCGAAGCACCACTAAGCACCTGACCCAATGAGCACTTTGATTACCTATCTAGCTTTTAATCTGAGAAACAGATGCATTTTTATTTTGTTCAAGTCCTGATGGTATTTCTGTTACAGAAGTTAATAAATACCGCAACATTGTTTTTGCTTGAAGTGCTGGGAGTAGAACTTAAGGCCTTTTGCCTAATCTAAAGTAAGTATCTCCGAGCTGGAGAGATGGCTCAGCAGTTAAGAGCACTGACTGCTCTTGCAGAGGACCCGGGATCGATTCCCAGCACCGACAAGACGGCTACGAACCATCATTAACTCCAGTTCCAGGGGAATCCGATGCCCTCTTCAGACCTCCGCAGCATTGCACAACATGGGTGCACTCACATACATGCAGGCAATACACTCATACACATAAAATAAAAATGCTAAATATTTTTAAAAAGTAGGTATCTTCCACCATCCTACATACCCAGCCCTTGATCTAAAATTCTAACTAATAAGACTGACCACTTATGTTGATAAAGACTGATCTTAACATTTTATGATAAAAAAAGAGCAGCTCCCAATGCAATAGGTAAATATTTCAGTTTTTAAACCACAGTCCTATCATTTCCATTCTATAGCTTTGCTCGGCCTAAATAAAAATGTGCCTACCAGGCTTCAATCCAGACCTAATGGAACCAAGTCAAAGAAATGCCTGACTACAGAGTTTATCTTTTCAACAGAGTAAACTTCTCTCCTCAGATTACTCATTTTCAAGTGTGCTTACATATTTCCCAAGATTTGCCTTTCCTGAGGCAACCATTCAGTTCATAACCACTGAATGTTAAAGGCAACTGTGGTATGTGCTCAGGACACAGCTGATTCCAGCCCCTCTTCCTACTATGGCATGACCTTGCGCTAAAGTTCTTCTCTCAAGAGTCCTCGTGTTAAGTGCAGACGGTGTCTCTATCACATCTCACTGTAGACTCAACTTCAGATGAGCATGCCACAGAGAAAGCTCCAAAGGGAGCTGGTGTCCCTTACCCTCAGGCCTGCAATGGCCTTTGAGGATGTAGCACCCCACTGAGTATCTGGCCCTACCACCTTTAAGCACAGTATGCCTCAGACAGTTTAGAGCCAAAACAGTGATACATTTTGAGGTCATTCAGTTCAATTCACTACACCAAAGTTTCTGGATACTTCTATCAATATTTTAAAATATTTCATTTTGGAACTTTTTTGATAGTGAATTTATTCTAAGATTAAGTTGTACTGATGACTGAAACTCTAAGTTAACAAAAAATATCACTGACCACTTAAAGCAGATGAATTTTATGGTGTGCAAATCATTCCTCCATAAAGTTTTAAAAGAGACCACTATAATGATTATGTGGATAAGAATTAAGGAACTGAAATCACTAAATACATCTGATGTTACTTTACCAAACTCAAGAGATAAAAGACCATTCAAAATGCCCTGTGCATATCAACTTAGAGCCTGGAGCAACATGATGCACTAAAGCGTCATCCTTCCATTCAGTTGAGACCATGCTATTCACAGCTGCCTGAGTGCATTGGATGACAAGAACTTAATACCCATTACAAGATACTCCTACAAGCAGACAGAGGGCACTGAGCTTAGAAGGAGCAGTTACATTCAGGAATCAGATGGAGCTTCACAGATTATGTTTTGATTAAGTTATAAAAGCATAAATAGTAGTTCACTGGGCAGAAAACAAACCAGAAGCAATAGAATGCAAAAAGGCAAAGAATTGTGAAAAATAGAACATGAGCTATTGAATTACTGAATTTTTTGTTAGATGGATTAATAAAACAAAAAGAAGTAAAAATGTGTGCATCTTGTTAGGTATGTCATGAAACTTGCATTTATATAAAATATCAGGGACAGCTACCCACACAAGTAAAACAGATGCACATACTATGGAATGTTTCACTGTCAAGGATAGATTGTACACAACCTTAACAGTATCTGAAAATATTTTCTATTTATCAGCACCACACTTAAGCCCAGCTGAACTAACTGGCTAGCTAAGAGTATTTGAAAATGTTTTTTATTTTGCACATTTAATCGGGGGATCATAACGTTAAGCTAATGTATCATCAAGAAATCTCCAAACATTTGGAGAGAAGTTATTATTCAATTCCTCATGGCCTGGAAATCACCAGCAACAGAAATGAGGAAAATGAAGAAGACTGAAAAACTGATAATAAAAAAGTGTTTATACCCATGTGGTGTGTGTGTGTGTGTGTGTGTGTGTGTGTGTGTGTGTGTGTGTGTTTGCATGCATGCATGCACATTTGCATTAAGGAGATGAGACTTGTTAACTGGAGCCCAGAAGGGGTAGCTAGTTAGTGCCCGGTTAGCTTTCCTACACAAAGGAAGAGGAGAAGGAAGATCTGTAGGCACCAATTAACTGAGAGAATTACCAGACAAGCTCAGTCAGAATTTAAGGTTGACATATTGGGAAAATTCCTTTATGCCATGCCATATATTAAAGTTCAGAATGGCAAAAACTATCCAGAAAATGGTCAGAGACAAAATGAAACCTGGCATGATACAGTAACACCCACAAAACTTCAAAGTGCACCCCAGTAACATGCTTCCTCCAGCAAGGCCATACTTCCTAAAGGTTCCATAACGTGCCCAAACAGCACCACCAAATGGGAACCAAGTGTTGATACATGAGCCTATGCAAGGCATTTCTCATTCAAATCACCACAAGCATAAAATGTTTTCTTTATATACGTAAATTCAAACAAGAGGTTTGAATAACATAACAGAAGAAAAAGTGCTTTGGGTGTCTGTCTGTTAGAGAGCCAACAATACCTGGTGACTGCTTGATAGCCAAATGACTCTCCAGCAAAGACACAAGAACTCCCAAGGTAAAAGTTAAATTCCTCCTTAGGGCTCATTAGCTAATCCTTGTAAATTAAGATTCCATTTCTCTTTGCCAAAAGGTGGAAGATTATTTTTATAAAAACCTGTCAAAAAGTACTAACACTGAAAACCCTGAGAGAAGTTAACTTGAAATTC